TATTGTTCATGAGCTTGTTCTGGCCCAGACCAGATCAGACCCCCTCAAAATACATTAAGACAGCAGATCGTAACTTTTTCTTATTTTTAAGGTAAATGTCAGCTGCTGTGTTCCAGATGCAATTTGATTGGTTAAACTACTCGATGTTAAGCCTAAAACATTTATCCAAACTTTAGTTAAAATACATCAAAAGAGGGAAGCAGTTAGAAAATCTTAACCCCATTGGAAAACTTAACAGAATAATAGATACAGTAACTATTACTAACTAACCGTTCCAATATAGTAACATCCTCTTAACACACCCTTGGCAAAAGGCAAATTCAGAAAACAGATTGTCTCACATGCAGTTCTCCAATCGAGGAGGAAAGAACATCAAAAGACAATTCTGAGAGAGAGAGAGAGAGAGAGAGAGAGAGGGAGGGGGAGAGAGAGAGGGAGAGGGGCAGTGTAGCAGCTGGAAGAGCTTCACTGCCTTACAACCCTCCCAGGCCCCAGCAACAACTGCTGAAAGCTAATTAAATACATCCTGGACCTGTGGGAGCCTGACCACATCCACTCAGGATGCTTCTACTGTTCCAGCTTTTAATAAAAGACACCCAAGGCTTCACAAGTTGTTTATCTTCTTATTGACTGCTCGGCGCCTGTTTCCCCAATCTCTCTCTAAAAGCAACCAGGGCAAAACACACCTCTTAAAACCACAGTATTGTCACAATCCTCAGCCCCTGTTCTCTTCGTCCTACTGCAACCAGCCTGTTGGTCAGCCAGCTCCCCTCGCTGGCCTCCATGTGAACCGACATTGGAAACAACTTCTCTCCTTTATTCCTGTCCCCTCCACCCTCTCCTTTCAATCCGCTAACATCGCAGCTCCTCAACAACATTGACTCTTCACCCACTGGCCTGGAAAACTCACTTTCCATTTCCAATCACCCTTTCCTTTCCAAACTCCTGGAGTCTGGTGGTGCATCCCAGATTGATTATTTCCTGTGGCTCAGCGACATACCCATTCCCACAGGGAATATTTTGTCCGGATCAGATTTCTTGACCATTCACAAGTCACAGAAAACCGCTGGAATTTTTAAATTATTTATAACTGGGATGTGAAAATAGTTGCCCCATAGCAGGTATTGGTGACCTCCTTTCAAGGGAGTCTCTCCTTCAGTCATTTCCAAGGGTGGTTGCTATGGGCCTGGAGTCACGTGTAGTCCAGCCTGGGTAAGGAGGTCAGATTTCACATTGTGAACCAGGCAATAGAGTTTTACAGCAATTGATGATGAGTTTTGCTTTTATGTTCACGGAACATTATGATACACCTATGGAGCACATGGTATTTGAACACAGGCCTTCTATCCCAGAGACAGGGACACTACCACAGTACCACAAATGCCTCATAAAGAGACTGCCTTTATAAATGCTGTGATAGGAATTTAATCCATGTGCCCCAGTAGGTTAGTTTGAGTCACAGGATCGAATGTCATTGACCCTCTAAATGCAATGACGGAGTTGTCTAATCAAAGACCACTTACTGATGTCCACGTGACTGCCTGAGCCTGGCAGCTCCTGGCACTGTTTCCCTCCATTTGTTGGACCAATACACTCACGGTGGCGAATCACAACGCCCTCACACTGGTGGCTACAGTTTGACCAGGACGTCCAGTCTGTCCACTGCCCATCAACTGCAGCAAGATGAAAAGGTGAGAGAGGCAGAGGAACAAACAGAGGAACATGCCCTGACCAGAGCTGGACGTTGAAGTGGGGGCTGTATGGACACATGGGGCTATATGGAAAAGGCAGGAGGCCAGCACTAGGGAACAGAGTCAGTGCAGACTTGATGGGCCAAAAGGCCACCTTCCTACCATAGTGCTTTAATGAAGTCTTTGAAGGTGTTTGGACAAGGAGGTTATAACAAAAAATACCCAAGGATCCCAGGCTTTACAAGGAGTGAGTAGAGCAGGAAAACAAGTAAATACTAATGAGCAGCGTTTTTTTAAAATTCACTTGTGGGATGTGGGCATCGCTGGCTGGGGTAGCATTCATTAGCCATCCCTAGTTGCCCCTTGAGAAGGTGCGGGTGAGCTGCCTTCTTGAATTGTTGCAGTCCTCCTGCTATGGGTTTACGCACAATGTCCCTTAGGGAGGGAATTCCAGGATTTTGACCCAGTGACAGTGAAGGAACGGCAATACATTTCCAAGTCAGGATGGTGAGTGGCTTGGAGGGGAACTTGCAGGGGGTGGTGTTCCCATGTATCTGCTGCCCTTGTCCTTCTGGATGGAAGTGTTCGTGGATTTGGAAGGTGCTGTGTGAGGATCTTTGGTGAATTTCTGCAGTACATCTTGTAGATAGTACACACTGCTGCTACTGAGTGTCGGTGGTGGAGGGAGTGGATGTTTGTGGAGCCTAGCCCCACCCCCACCTGATGCTCACTATGTCCCCTCCGCAGTGAACTCACCCACCCCAAGTCCCATCCTCACCCCCCAGTACTCGGGCTCCATGACTCCTTTCCCCCAACCCCATTCATCCATCCACACCCACCCTCCCCAAAACAGCCCCCATTCTCACCAACGCCATCCCAGTTGGACTGGGGTCTGGGTTCACCTGGGCAGGCCTGGTTGAAGCACTGTTGAGTCTGTGCCCTGTGCCCTCTGCACTCCTGCAGTAGGTCTGTAGATGGTGTCTCACACACTCGCTCTCGAGTCTGCACTCCAGCTGCACAACTTTGGCTGCATTCATTCCACAATCCCCATGGAGACCACGTCCCACAATTCAACTCATCCGAGGGAATCCCATCTGATTTCTCCGAGCTGTCTCTGCAGTCATCGATTCCATCACAAACCTAGACCAAAAACAGTCAGGTTATCATCTTTATCACACACCACCAACTCAATCAAAATCCTCCTGTCCCCTACACAGACACACAGTGCACCAATGAACTCCACACCATTCACTCATCTCCTATCACCCCAAAGGGCACAGTACCCTGGGGTTTACTGAATCCAGGTCTCAGGCCCATATGAAACAAGATATGGGGAGGTAATGGCCTAGTGGTATTATCACCACACTATTAATTCATTTACCTAGATAATGTTCTGGGGACCTGGATTCAAATCCTGCCACGGCAGGGATAAAAATCTGGAATTAAGAGTCTAATGATGACCATGAATCCACTGCCCTCTGAGTTGAGAGTCCTTACCCTCAATGCTGTAACCAAGCAAAGCCAGCCTGTGTGGTTTAAAATTCAAATGGTTCTGAGGAAGGTTCACTGGACCTGAAACTTTAACTGTGATTTCTCTGCACAGATGCTGCCAGACCTGCTGAGCTTTTCCAGCAATTTCTGTTTTTGTTCCTGATTCACAGCATCGGCAGTTTTTTTCGGTTTTTATTAATTAATTGCTGTTTGCTCAGATAGAAGTTGAACTGTTGATGAAAAAAGGCACATTGTGTTGAAGCTTTTCATCTTGCTTTCATCTGGACACTTCACAAGAATACCAATTCAACATTTATCCTGAATGAGAGGGCAGGACTGATTGGTTAATAAGTGAACTCTCATTCACCGAAACATAGAAAAGAGGAGGAAGAGGCCATTCAGCCCTTCCAGTCTGCTCTGCCATTCATTTTGGTCATAGTTGATTATCCATCTCAGTGCCCTGTTTCCTTTGAGATCAGAGTGTGGACTACTCATAGTATTTCCTGCCAGGTGTCTCACTAGTTCCTGACATTATTGACCAGCACGTACCTGTATGAAGGTAATACACCTCCCATTGGAGCAGGAATATTCACTGCAGCTGATCTTTGTCCCATTTCTCTGTGGGGCTGGTGCTGTTGGGATGTCCCGTTCTAGTAAATCAAATATGTTCATGTTAAACCCAGATCAAAAATGCTCACCCATCACTGACCAGTCCCAACCCAACAAATCATAGCAGTGTGTCCACTACTCGGCCATTTCTAGTCATGACACGAACTGGTTGACCCTCCCACCCTCCATTCAGCCCCCTCACTTCTTACCACAGTTCAGTTCATCTTCACCCTGTTCGCAGTCCATGACTCCATTACACACCCGTGTGCTGTTAATACAGACTTGACTGTTACAGAGGAAGCTCCCAGGACAGGGGGGGATCCTGGTAGAGCCTGGAGATGGAACACAATCATTTCTAAACATAGGATCCAGAGTGACAGCAAATAGCTATTCTGCCATTTGAGCTGCTTCTAGCATTGTTAGATCTAACATGTATTTAACTCGGTCCTTGCTACACAGCCTTTCCCATCCTAACCCAACTACAAGCTGCTGACCAGGTATTCATTTGTAACTGAATGACCTTGAGGCTCAGCAGCTTTCTGGTGCCCAGTGAGTTCCACATTTCCATTTAAAGAGATAAACCAGACTCGAAATATTAGCTTTTACTCTCTCCGCAGACACTGCTAGAACTGCTGAGTTTCTCCTGGTAATGTCTGTGTCTGTTTCAGATTTCCACTGCCCATTTTTGTGAGGTGTTCCCTGGCAGCACCCCCTGACCGGCCTGGCCCCAAGTTTAAGGTCATCCCAAATAACATGGGCAGTAGTTCCTCTCCATCAGCTCCATTGAATCCTTTACCCATCTTACACAGCAGATTTAGTGGTTTTAAACTAGTTACACATTTTTAAGAGAATTTAAGCCAATCTTCACAACTTGTCCTCAGAATGTAGCCTTTTCAACAAGCACTGAGTGATGGGGTCATACAGCACAGAAACAGACCCTTCGGCCCACTTGTCCATGCTGACCAGATATCCTATATAAATCTCGTCCCATGTGCCAGCATTTGGCCCATATCCCTCTAAACCCTTCCTATTCATGTACACATCCAGATGTCTTTTAAATGTTGTAATTGTACCAGCCTCCTCTGGCAGCTCATTCCATACACACACCACCCTCTGCATGAAAACGTTGCCCCTTAGGCCCCTTTTAAGTCTTCCCCTCTCACCTTAAACCTATGCCCCTCTAATTTTTGATTTCCCCACCCTGGGGAAAAGACCTTGTCCATTCACCCTATCCATGCCCCCTCATGATTTTATAAACCTCTATAAGGTCACCCCTCAGCCTCTGAGGCTCCAGGGAAAATAGCCCCAGCCTATCCAAAGCTCCTTATAACTCAAACCCTTCAGTCTCAGTAACATCTGGGTAAATTTTCTTTTTGCATCCTTTATGTTCGTTCATACATACAACTTTGAGAGGACAAGAGGGTGTAGATGTGATTTATAACAGCAAACTGAGTTCAGCTTTGTTCAGAGACTGAGGGAGCTGGGATTGCTCTTGTTAGAGCAGAGAAGGTTAAGGATGAAATTTAATCATGGCATTTGGCATCATGAGCAGTTTGTCATAGTGAGTAAGGAGAAACTGTTTCCTGTCACAGGAAAGTCTGTGACCACAGGGACACAGAGAAGGCTATTTTAACTCCCTCTCTCACTCCAACTCTTTACCACATAACCCCTCCAGCCACAGCCATTCCTTACCCTCACCCTCACCCTCACCCCCCTTACCCAGTGCCCACAGTCACTCACCACAGTGGTCAACAGTCTCATCAGAGTGGTCCTGACAGTGAGGATTCCCATCACATAACTGCCAGAGTGGGATACACTGGGAGCTGTCCCCACATTGGAACTCTCCAGTTAGACATGTCCTGTTACAATTCTTCTCATCGCTACCATCTGGGCAATCAAGTTCATTATCACACAGCCAGCCTCGTGGTCTACACTCACCGCTGTCACACCGGAACTCAGAATGGCGGCACCGCAAAGCAGCTGGAATAAAACCAAGCAGTCATCAGGCCAGACAGAAAACATAGAAACCAAGGACAGGAGGAGGCCATTCAGCCCCTCCCGCCTGCTTTACCATTCAGTGTGAAGATGCTGATCTGCGATCTCAATGCCATACACCCAAGTCCTCTCAGAATCATTATGGTCCAGGAGGCCATTCAGCCTACTGTGCCAGCACCGACGCTTCAAATGAACCATACTCCTCAATCCATGTAATATCTAAGATGTTAGCTGTCTCTTTCTTCAATATATTCAGTAACCTGGCCTCCACAGCCCACTATGAGGGAGAATTCCACAGATTCACTACCTCATCTCAGTCCTACATGGTCTACTTGTATCCTGAGATTGTGTTCCCGAGTTCCAAAGTGAGGCGATGGTCTGCTGGTATTATCATTAGGCAATTATTCCAGAAACCTGGGTTCAAATCCCATCGTGTTGGATGGTAGAATTTGAATTCAATCAAAACTGACTGGGATTAAGAATCTAACAGTAACCATGAACCCACTGTCAATTGTTGTAAAAGCCCACAACTGGGTCACTAATAGGGAAGGCCATTCTGCCATTTGAGCTGGTTCTAGCATTCAGTTAAATCTGACCTGTACCTAACTCCATCTAAACAAAAAACAAACTGCAGATGATAGAAATCAGAAGCAGAAATTGCTAGAAAACACTTAGCAGGTCTAGCAGCATCTGTGAAGAAAAATCAGAGCTTATGTTTTGGGTTCAATGACCTTTCTTCAGAACTCCACGTATCTGTTTTTGCTACACAACCTTTACATTCAAACAAGGAAACATGGGAAATCTGCCATCCTCACCCAGTCTGGCCTACATGTAATTCCAGACCCACAGCAACGGAGTTGACTCTCAACTGCCCTCAGGGCAATTAGGGATGGACAATAATTGCTGGCCTAACCAGGAATACCTACACCCCATTAGTAAATAAATTGAAATATAATTGACCCAGTGACAGTTAAGGAACAATAATACATAGCAATACATTTCCAAATCTGGAATTAAGAACCTAATGATGACCATGAATCCATTGTTGATTGTCGGTAAAAACCTATCTGGTTCACTAATGTCCTTTAGGGAGGGAAACTGCCATCTTTACATGGTCTGGCCTACACGTGACTCCATACCCACAACAATGTGGTTGACTCTTAACTGTCCCCTGGGCAATTAAGGATGGGCAATAAATGCTGCCTGGTCAGCGATACCTTCATTCCTTGTCCTTCTGGATGGAAATGGTCATCGGTTTGGAAGGTGCTAAATGAAATAACTCCACAGAGGCTGGTATCCCATCACCAAGTCCCCCTTTAGTTACACAGGGAGAGTCCTTGACACTGATCCAGCTCCCTCAGAGCCAGGTCTCAGAGTGAACAGAACCTCTGACCCTCCTGTTTCTATCTGTCAGCCAGGGCTCCCTGATTGGAATGCTAATATGGCCAAATCAGGAATCTCTTATCCAATGAAGTCCGTCTGGATGACCTCATTATAATTACTACACTGGGGATCTTTATGGTGAATATCTGCCGTGCATCTTGTAGATAGGACTCACTGCTGCCCCTGGTGGAGGGAGTGGAGGTTTAAATATTTTCTGATAATGAGCTTCTTCAGAATGACCCACTGTTTGGACATTGTGTTCCTACCTGGTGCTGAAGAGATGCTTTGAGCAGACAGTGGGCTTGGGCTGGTGATAGAAGCAGCTTCCACAGTGGAACCTGGACATCTGTCTGGAGTCTCATCTTCACCCTGTTCACAGTTACTCTCTCCATTACACATGTCCCGCCTGGGAATGCACGATCCGTTTCTACAGGGGAACTGTCCTGGGCCACAGATCACTGGAACTGAAAATAGTTACACTGCTTCATTACACGTGACAGGGTGTCAAACCCAGCATCCCATCAGTCAATACTCTCACCGGTCCTCATGGCACCTTTGTGCCTCAGACAGTGATGTTTTGTGATGTGGTGGGGATAACTATTGTGACTCTGAAGCTTCTCTCTCGCTCAGCACAGTGAGCAAGGAAGGTGCAGGGTACGTCGGACTCTTTCTCTGGATCGCCAGCCTCAACTGGCTGACCTTTCAGTAACCCTCACCCTAACCCTAACCTTAACCCTGACTCTAACCCTCACCCTAGCCCTAACCTTAACCCTGACTCTAACCCTCACCCTAACCCTAACCTTAACCCTGATTCTAACCCTCACCCTAACCCTAACCTTAACCCTGACACTAACCCTAACCCTAACCCTAACCCGAACCTTAACCCTGACTCTAACCCTCACCCTAGCCCTAACCTTAACCCTGACTCTAACCCTCACCCTAACCCTAACCTTAACCCTGACTCTAACCCTCACCCTAACCCTAACCCTAACCCTAACCCTAACCCTAACCCTAACCCTACCCCTAACCCT